GAGATAGCTCCCCCAAAAGGCTCCTGCCAGTGTCTTTGTCCCTAACATGAGTCCCAATTTCTTCCTACCTCTCCAGGAGGCTCTCTAAAGTCAGCAAGTGGGTCTGACTCAAGCTCCTTTCAAATGACTGTTTCTGCCCTGGGTGTTGGGAGTGTGTATGATTTTTGGAAGTGCACTTTTTGTTTGTAGTCTCTGCTTCCCACAGTCTTCTACTGGCTATCCCAAAGGTCGACCTCGCTGGCCTTCAAAGCCAGATTTGGGGGCTCATCTTTCCGGTGCAGGACTCCCTGGCTGAGGAGCTTGATGTAGGTTTGGGATCTTCACTCCTTGGGGACAAACTCTGCTATTGTAATTACCCTACTCTTTGTGGGCTTCTCACCTGGGGGTAAGGGTCTTGACTGTGCTGTCTCCAATCTTCCTATTTGTTGTAGTTCCTTATTTATGTCTTTCATTGTAAAGAAAAATTTTGCTAGCCTTCAGAATGTTCTCATTAGTAGCTGCTCTGAAAATAGTTGTAATTCGGGTGCCCTCATGGGAGGAAGTGAGCTCAGGGTCTTCCTACTCTGCCTGTTGGCCACTCCCTCCAGTATGTCTGTCTTTATGCCAGTTCCACTCTGCCACGATTATCATAGTTCTATAGGATGTTTTGGTATCAGGAATAGGAAATCCCCAAATTCATTCACTTTTTCAAGATTGTTTTGACTATTTGGTTTGGATCCCCTGCAATTTCATATGAATTTTAAGATGTATTTTTTTTTCTGTTTCTGCAAAAAAACATTTTCGGGATTTTTATATGGATCACACTGAATCTGTATATCACTTTAGGTTGTATTGACATCTCAGTAATGCTAAATTTTCCAACTAGTGAATATTTTTCATTTATGTGTGTCTTCTGTAATATCTTTCAGCAATCTTTTGTAGTTTTCAGGGTGCAAGATTTTGCCTACTTGATTAAATTTATTCTTAAGTGTTTTATTCTTTTTGATGCCACTGTAAATGGAATTGTTTTCTTAATTTCTTAGTCTTTGGTTTGTTCATTTATAGTATAGAAATTCAACATTCATTCATGATAAAAAAAAAATACCCAATAGAAGGGCTGTACCTCAACATAATAGAGGCCATTTACGACCATTCCACAGCTCACATCAGACTCAACATTGGAAGACTGAAAGCTTTTCCATTAAATTCAGGAGCAAGACAAGAGTGCACACTCTCACCACTTTTTAAAAAACATACTGCAAAACGTACTGCAAAAATTTTCCTTTGACATGTTTTGAGTTTTCTACATATAAATCATATCATCTTCTAAATGATATAATTTTACTTAATTAAACTTTACTTAACTTTACTGTCTGTAACAGTGCTTCCAATGGTAGCCACTTCCTATCCTTTGGATCTCAGTTTAATCATCACCTTTAAAGTAATGCCTTCTCTGATTACATTATCCATAGTAGAATTCTCCCTCTTATTTCTGTCACAGTGCCCTATTGTCTTACAAGCAGTACATAAGACTATCATTACTTTATTAAATTTTCTCTTATTGTTTGACTCTAATATGGGAATCTGAGATCCATGCAGGAAAGAACTTTTACATGATTTCCTCTCCTGTTTTATTAATGGCTGTGTTTTCACTCACAGTACAGTTTCTGGCATTAAATGGGTACTCTAAATTATAAAATATGGATAAATAATTAGTTATTATATCTACACCAGTGATAATATTTTATACATCTAGCCAAACTTCAAGGCAGAATAAATTTGATATTAAATAAAAGAAAAGAAAAACTTACTGTGGCAGGTTGGAAAATACATGATTAATTAATCTAACTGGAACAAAATGACTGAGCAGGTATTGTGTTTTTCACTAGCATTAACTTCATAATATTTCTAAAGTTATTTTTTCCTCCATATTACACTTTCCTGTCCTTGTTATATGATTTGACCTAATAGCATCTTTACGTAGAGATATACTTTTAAAACTTTGTGGAAAACCCCAGTGAATTTAATTAAATGAGGATCAGTTTTGGACACATTCCAATTCTAAGAGTCAATGATAAATGAGGTTAGAAGGGATAAAATGCCCAGTGATCTTTGCCAATATCAGGAAAGAGATGCTATCTTTTTAAGAACATGTAAAATTTTAGGAGGTCCTTTGTTAGAATTAAAGTATTGCATTAGAAAAAGAAAAGCAGAAGAATGTCTCTCAAAACCAACCATCTAGCCTGGCTCTGCAACATGATGCAGTGAGAAGGACTAAACAATTGAATGATATTTTTAAATTTTGAAGTTAGTAGGGTAAGGTTACTAGAGACACATTTTCTTGTGCAATAACTGGTTGCTATCTTCCTATGTAAACATAGGATTCACTAGTTTTTTGTTTGTTTGTTTTGATAAATTTCCAACATGATAAATTATGTGTGTGCATGTGTATGTGTTTGCTCACACACTGAGGGATATTTTTATATAATTCATAGTGCAAATAAAACTGATCTTCTGCATAATTGATCTTCTGAAAAATAATAATTAAAAAAAATGATCTTTTGAAAACTCCTTGGAGAAAATGGACAGACAGTTGAGTGAAATAAAATATACCCTCAAGTAACAATGCAGCCTATGTCCTCTGTTTTCAGACTGGATGAAGGAAGATTTCCAAGTCTTTGTGCGTAACTTAAAAAGCCTTCCTTCAGATAGTGAACACGCCTCCACAGGGTACGTCTAACAGTAAGTATTGGGAACCAGGCTCCACAATTGTGTGACTGTCTTCATTATGTAAGGAATTAAGTTGCTTTTAAATAAGTCAAACTTAGATTCAATTCTAGTTTTATCACTTAACAATGTGAGGCCTTGGAAAATTAATTGGATGTTCCAAGCCTTAGTTTCTTCAACTACAAAGTGGGGTTTATAGCTCCTGTTATTATAAGTTTAAATGTGACATATTAAATTGTGAGGGCTTGACTGGAATCCACTATAGGAGTTGCAAGACATGTAGTGATATAGTCAGAGCAAGATTTAAAGAGGTTCATATCAGCTGATTCAAGAGAGTAAATTTTTAGAGGCAGAATAAAAGTGGAAAGACATGGCAGAAGGCTATTGCAGTGGGCCAGTAAGGAAATGAGGGAGTAGGGAATGATCAAATTCGTAATATAATTTGAAAATAGAGACAACAGGATGTGTTAAAAGAATCAATAACATAAGAACAACAGTGAAGAACACTGGGAGGTTTTCTGTCTAAGCAATTTAATGAGACGGGAACTCCTTTTTATTATGGAAAATTTAAAATTTATTTTTATATACGCTAAATTGATATCCAATTGTAGATGTCCAAAACTGGAGATGCTGCTTATACAAGGTTAAAAATAAGTGGAGAGGTAGAAGGCTGAGACACAAAATTAAAGTGCTGCAGCATTTAATGGTCAGGAAAAGGAGGAATATCCATTTAAAGACCTTAAGAATTTTCAGTGTACTTTGAGGCAATTCAGGACAGTGACCTTCCATTTATAGTTTGATCTACTCACACTGAATGTGTAATTTAGCTTAAATGGGTTTCAAGTATTACACTTTTGTGACATTATAAATGGTGTACCATTTTAGGGAATTCCCTTCCCATCTTCTTTTGTTCTTTCATTTTTTTTCCTTTAAAACTCAGTTAAAGCATTGATTTCACTGGGAAACCTTCTTTGATTTCAGTCTGATTGATATATTCCTACACTGTGACCTTAGTGTTGCATGAATATCCGTATATATAATGGCATTTATTACATGGATCTGATCTCTTATTTTGTTTCGTATCGCTGAGCATAAGGAACTATGCTTTATTCAACTTGGTATTCACAATGTCTATGATCCATTGGATACAAACAGGTACTTCATACACATTGTTTTAATTGAATGAATAAATAAAAGATTATACTTACAATGCATTTAAGTATTTTCCCCCTTGTTTTGTAGGTAAACTGCTTCTAATATGTGAAGTCAGCTCCGGTACAGACTAGATGGAACCAAAAAATAATGTAACTTTCTTCATCCTCTTGGGCCTCACACAGAATCCAAAGGAGCAGAAAATCCTTTTTGTTATCTTCTTGCTCTCCTACATTTTGACCGTGGTGGGCAACCTGCTCATTGTGGTGACGATTACTGTCAGTAAGACCCTTAACTCACCAATGTACTTTTTTCTTGCCAGCTTATCTTTTATAGATCTAATTTATTCCACTTCTATTT